CACATATAGCCTGCCTCTGAACTGGTTTGATGATTCCTTTGTTTTCCAGCTTTCAGATTTCTGCCTCTACCTTTACACATAAGGCAAATGACACTGGGTGGGCCTTGCAGAATCATGGCATTGCTTCTTGGTCCACATGCAAAGTGGCCTTCAATAGTCCCTAGACCTTCCCGAAAGATTTCCATGTATTAAATTAGGACTTCACTCAGGCAGCCATTTTCTAATCAAAAAATGTTGAGCCAATCTAGGTGAATCTTCCTCAATTAATTTTGCCCTTTCAAGCTTGTGCCCAAGCCTTTTACTACAATCAGTGGTAACTGAACCAGCTGCTTCTCATAAGAGAATGGAACCAAAGTTGTACCCTTAATCCGTAAAAGTTCCCCGGTGTAGGTTATCGGTCTAGCCAAGGTCTTGTGCAAATGTGAGGGTCGGAGTCCAGAGCAAATTTTCGTAAAGACTGGTTTGGTCATCACTGAAATGGCTGCACCAGTATCAACTTCCATTAGAACTAGGTGACCATTTAACCACACATTTATTTTAATTGATTCTGATTTAGATGTTGCTAAGCAATTTAACTGTTCCAAACCAGATGTAGGTGGACTTTCATGCAGTGCACTCTCCTGGATACCGGCCTTTGAGCTCTCTTACTCAATTTAAGTCTAATGGTACTCTTGCTGACTCGAGTCTGCATTCCAGCAGCAACCACAATGGCTTTCCAGCCTGGATCCTGAAGAAACTTTTAACCGTTTGACCTAGGCTTGGCTTTGTTTTGGGGTTTTACTGTGGACTGACCTAGAGACCCTCTGTTCAAGATATAAATTGAGTGAGGCTATGCAATTGCCTTCACTCAAATGGTGGTGTCCCCCAAGCTCAGTCGACTCGGTGAGGGTGTACACTTCCATCAGAATACCCTGCAACTTATGCTCCACTTGCTGCATTTTCCAATGATAAAGCCTGTTGTGGTGCCTGTTTGAAGTCAGTTGGGCTTCAGCTACTAGGCACTTTTGCATGGTTACATCATTGATCCCACTCTCGTTGCCATTGAAATAACTCCACAGAGGCTCGTATCCCATCACCAAGTCATCCTTTATTTACACATGGAGAATCCTTGACACTGATCCAGCTCTCTCAGAGCCAGCTCTCTGCGCGAACAGGATGTTCGAAACTCCTGTTCTTATCTGTCAGCTAGGGCTCGCTGATTGGACCAGATTAAAAGCCCCAATCAGGAAACTCTTACTCTATGAGGTCCACCTGGCTGACCTCATTAGAATCACTACCGTAGCCTTTTGGGTTCAGGAAAGTTGCTTACCTATTGTGAAATGCCCTAATTGCTACATGAGTGCAGTGAATCAGAACCTGAACTTGTGAGAAGTATGTCATAGCAACAGCCTGTAGAGCCTGCAGCCATTTCCTTTGTCTGCTACTGCCTATGGGAAAAGTTATTAAATTGATCTAGCAAAATAGGATGTCCCCTGAAGGTGAAGGATTCTAGAAATGGGATAAATCAACCATGGTTAATCAGAGAAACCAAGGATAGAATCAAAACAAAGCAAAAATGAAAAACAATATTTGGCAAAGATTAGTGGTAAGTCAAGAGGTTAAGGAAAGTTTTAAAAACCAACAAAAGACGACCTAAAAATAATAGAGAGAGGATAAAGTCGTGTAAACATCTAAAATAAAAGAGAGAAGCCAAAACGTATATCAGTAAATATTTGCAAATGAGACTAGGAAAATAATATGGAGAACCAGGAAATGGCAAAGGAGTTTAATAAATACTCTGCATCAGTCTTCACAATAGAAGACACTAAACACATTCCAAAATCACTAAATAATTAATGGGAGAGGAAACAGGTACAATAGCTATCATTAGAGAAAAAGTGTGAGGTCAACTAATGGGGCTAAAAGCTAATAATTACCCTGAACCTGATTGGATGCATCCTTGGATATTAAAGGAAGTAACTACATAGTCAGTAGATGACCTAGTAGTAATCTTCCAAGAATCCTTAGATTGTGAAAAAAGTCCCAGAGAATTGAAAAACTGCTATGTAACACTTTTGTTGATAAAGGAAGAAGGTAAAACACAAAACAAAAGCTAACAATAGACCCCCACCCCCGACCACCAAAACATCGTCTCCCAGACCATCCATAACCTCATCACCTCAGGTGACCTCCCATCCACAGCCTCCAACCTCATCATTCCCCACCCCCGCACCGCCCGCTTCTATCTCCTTCCCAAAATCCACAAACCTGACTGCCCTGGTCAACCCATTGTCTCCGCCTGCTCCTGCCCCACCGAACTTATCTCCACCTATCTCGACTCCATTTTCTCCCCCTTGGTCCAGGAACTCCCTACCTACATCTGTGACACCACCTACGCCCTCCACCTCCTCCAAAACTTCCAATTCCCCGGTCCCCAACACCTCATCTTTACCGTGGACGTCCAGTCCCTATACACCTGGATTCCCCATGCAGATGGCCTAAAGGCCCTCCGTTTCTTCCTGTCCCGCAGGCCCGACCAGTCCCCCTCCACTGACACCCTCATCCGCTTAGCCGAACTCGTCCTCACCCTCAACAACTTCCCTTTCAATTCCTCCCACTTCCTACAGACAAAGGGGGTGGCCATGGGTACCCACATGGGCCCAAGCTATGCCTGCCTCTTTGTAGTTTACATGGAACAATCCCTCTTCCGTAGCTACACTGGCCCCAAACCCCACCTCTTCCTCCGTTACATTGATGACTGTATCGGCGCCGCCTTGTGCTCCCACGAGGAGCTCGAACAGTTCATCCACTTCACCAACACCTTCCACCCCAACCTTAAGTTCACCTGGACCATCTCTGATACCTCTCTCTCCTTCCTGGACCTCTCTGTTTCCATCTCTGGCAACCACCTGGAAACCGATATCCATTTCAAGCCCACCAACTCCCACAGCTACGTAGAATACACCTCCTCCCACCCACGTTCCTGCAAAATGCCATCCCCTATTCCCAATTCCTTCACCTCCGCTGCATCTGCTCCCAGGATGAGGCATTCCACTCCTGTACATTCTCAGATGTCCTCGTTTTTCAAGGACCGCAACATTTCCCCTTCAGTGGTCGAGAACGCCCTCAACCGTGTCTCCCGCATTTCCCGCAACTCATCCCTCACATCCCCTCCCTGCAATAACAACCAGAACAGAATCCCCCTCGTCCTCACGTACCACCCTGCCAATCTCTGGATCCAATGCATCATCCTCCAACACTTCCGCCATCTGCAATCCGACCCCACCACCAAAGACATTTTTGCCTCCCCACCCTTATGTGCTTTCCAGAGGGACCACTCTCTCCGGGACTCCCTTGTCCGCTCCACACTCCCCTCCAGCCCCACCACACCCGACACTTCTCCCTGCAACCACAGGAAGTGCTGCACCTGCCCCTACACCTCCCTCCTCACCCCCATCCCAGGCCCCCAGAAGACTTTCCACATCAAGCAGATGTTCACCTGCACATCTGCTAATGTGATATACTGTATCCGCTGTTCCTGTTGTGGCCTCCTCTACATCGGGGAAACCAAGCGGAGGCTCGGGGACCGCTTTGCAGAACACCTACGCTCGGTTCGCAATAAACAACTGCACCTCCCAGTCGCGAACCATTTCAACTCCCCCTCCCATTCCTCAGACGACATGTCCATCCTGGGCCTCCTGCAGTGCCACAACGATGCCACCCGAAGGTTGCAGGAACAGCAACTCATATTCTGCTTGGGAACCCTGCAGCCCAATGGTATCAATGTGGATTTCACAAGTTTCAAAATCTCCCCTCCCCCTACCGCATCCCAAAACCAGTCCAGCTCGTCCCTGCCTCCCTAACCTGTTCTTCCTCCCACCTATCCCCTCCTCCCACCTCAAGCCGCACCTCCATCTCCTACCGACCAACCTCATCCCGCCCCCTTGACCTGTCCGTCCTCCCTGGACTGACCTCCCTTCCTAACTCCCTACCTACACTCACCTTTACTGGCTCCATCCCTGCCTCTTCGACCTGTTTGTTTCCTCTCCACCTATCCTCTCCTCTATCCCTCTTCTATCCGCCTCCCACTCTCTCCCTATTTATTTCGGAACCCCCTTCCCCTCCCCCTTTTCTGATGAAGGGTCTAGGCCCGAAATGTCAGCCTCTCTGCTCCTATGATGCTGCTTGGCCTGCTGTGTTCATCCAGCCCTGCACCTTGTTGTCTCTAAGTTTTAAGTATGCCTGGTACTGCTCCTGGTATAATGTCCTGCATTCTTCATTGAATCAAGATTGATTTTTTGGTTTGATGGTATTGGGAGAGTTCCTGTCAAATGTGTGGTCGGAGATGTGGTTCTGAGATTGGGCTCATAAGCCATGAAAGAACCCATAGAACCCATGATCAGTGACATGGACAATCATACTTGTCAGCTGCCACTGAATGTATGGGCGAAAAGCCAGACTATGAGATTGCAGATTGTGTGTGAGTATGATTCTGCTGATTTAATTTGATTCAATTTGATTTGATTATTATCATATGTCCGGAGACACAGTGAAAAGTATTGTTTTGCATGCTAACCAGACAAATCATACTTTACATAAGTACATCGGGGTAATAGAACAGAATGCAGAATATAGTGTTGCAGCTACAGAGAAGGTGCAGAGAAAGATCAACTCTAACATATGAGAGGTCCATTTATTAGTCTGATAACAACAGGGAAGTAGCTTTTCTTGAATCTGTTGGTATGTGTTTTCAAACTTTCATATCTTCTACCTGGTTGGAGAGAGTATAACCAGGGTGGGAGGTCTTTGATTTTGTTGGCTGCTTTCCCAAGGCAGCAGGAAGTGTAGACTGAGTCAATGGAAGGAAGGCTGGTTTTCATGATGGACTGGGCTACGTTCACAACTCTGTGTAATATCTTGCAATCTTGGGCAGAGCAGTTGCCATACCAAGCTGTGATGCATCTGGATAGGATGCTTTTTGTGGTACATCTATAAATTGGTAAGAGTCATTGTAGACTTGCCGAATTTCCTTAGCCTTCTGAGGAAGTAGAGGTGTTGATGTGCTTTCTTGACTGTAGCATTGACATGGATGGACCAGGGCAGATTATTGGTGATATTTACTACTAGGATTTTGAAGCTCTCAACAACCTCCATCTCAGCATCATTGATACAGACAGGGGTGTGTCCTCCACTCCACTTTCTGAAGTTGATGACCAGCTCCTTTGTTTTGCTGATTCGGAGGGAGAGATTGTTGTCTTTACACCAAGCCACTAAACTCTCAATCTCTTTCTGATGACTCATAGTATTTTGTGGATGCTGAATCTTGAGTTGCTAGCTCTGTTTGAAGACTGTCCGTTAAAGCATGGTGAAAGTGCCACACAATATGATTGAGGATATCTGCAATGGGAAGGCAGGAGTTAGTCTCCATGAAAACTGTGTGGCGATCACTCCTACTGATACAGTCATGGACAGTTGCACCTGCAGCAAGCAAATTGGTGAGGATGGCACTTTGTCGCGGACATCAGAGTCCTTCACCCAGAGTGCATTCTGAGCACTTGTCCCCCTTCCCCCCCCCCCCACCCCTCCCCCTCCCCCTCCCCAACTTCAATGTTTCCTCCAAATGGTTTTAAACATGAAGGAGTACTGATTAATCAGATCGGTTGACGGGGGGGGCAGGGTATGGTGATAGCATGTGGCATTCAGTAGGAAGTTTCCTTGCCCACTTTTGACCTAATGGCATGATACCTTGTGAGGTCTGGAGTCAATGTTGTGGACTCCCAGGGCAATTTCCTCCCGATTTTATCCCGCTGTGCTGCCACCTGTGCCAGGTTAGCCCTACTGGTGAGACAGGACATGCCGGGAGTGGTGATAGTGTCAGCTGGGATGTTTTAAGGTATAATTCCTAGAGTATTACCATGTGAGGCTGTTGCTTGACTATATCAGGCTATTGCTTGACTGGTATCTTAGACAGCTTTCCCAATTTTGGCATTAATCCTGATATGCAAATAAGAAGGATTGTTTTAGGGTCAAGGCTGACATTTATTACCCATCCCTATTGCTCTGGAGAAAGTGACAGTTAGTTGCCTTCTTAAATACTGTAGTCCTTGGGGTGAATTTATAAAACTTTAATTCTTAGGAATTGAAAGTCTAATAAAAACAGAAACTGAAGTTAAAATAAAACAGTTTTTATGCTTACTTTATAAATGTCAAAAATGAAGCATCCAAATCCCAATCACAATGCCCAAGGAGCATTCATATAGCTTACATAAATAGCTGCCAGTGATGGCCAGCTACAAAAAAAAAGTACTTACAATTTCATCAGACATTCAGTTTGAAAGCTCTGCTTACTTAGCATCATTTATTCCAACCCTCTTCAAAGTAGAGACAGGGGTGAATTTTATCCCCTTATCTCAGTTGGAGGCATCACAGTGGTGGCACACTGGTTATTTACTAGGGCATACTGTGTCATCAACCATTTCAGCACGACCATTTTGAGAATGGTGTGCAGATGATCAGCCCAACTTGGGCTGGAAGGCTGTGAAGGAACACTTTCTTGATATTGCACAGCCTTATTGACAAAAAGAAACAAGTACAATATGCCAGTTAATGTAACTTATTCTTAGACCACACGTAGAATACTGTAAACAGTTTTGGCATCCTTATTTAGAAAAAAAATGCTGGGATTGGAGGCATGCAGGGAGGCTTCATAGGTTGATCCTGGAATGTTCTTATGAGTAGAGGTTGATGAAGCTGGGCCTGAAACCATCAGAGGTTAGAAGAATGAGAGGAGACCTTGGCTGATCTGTGGCCTAACTCCATGTGCCTGCCTTGGGCCCATATCCCCTGATAGCCTTGCTTAATAAAAATTTGACTATTTCAAATTTAAATTTAACAATCGAATATGCACCGATTGCCCTTAGAGGAAGAGAGTTCCAAAATCTCCACTACTTTTGTGTTTACAGATATTTTCTAACATCTCTCTTGAATGCCTTGGCCTTAATTCTTAGACCCCTGGTTCTAGGATCTTCAACCAGTGGAGCTTATCTACCCTGTCTCTCCCCGTTAATATCCTGAAAACCTTGATTACATCACCCCCTAACCTAAATTCTATGCTGCTTGGCCTGCTGTGTTCATCCAACTCTCCATCTTGTTATCGCATAATTTACCTAATTCTCCTTATAACTTATCCCCTGAAGTCCAAGTATCATCCTTATAAACCTGTGCTGAACTCTCTCCAGAGCCAAAATATCCTTCCTAAGGTGTAGTGCCCAGATCTGCTCACAATGCTCTAAGTGGGGCCTAACTAGGGTTTTGTGTAAAGGCAGCATAGCATCTGCATCCCTATATTCCAGCCCTTTACATATGAAGGCCAGCATTCCATTAGACTTCTTGACTATTTTCTGCACCCATTCTTGGCATTTTAAAGAAATATGCACCTGAAACTTAAATTTTGTTGGACATTTAAGTTCGGAAATAACCAAAGAACTGCAGATGCTGGAAAACAGAAACAAAACAGAAATTGCTGGAAAAGCTCAGAACATTCTGAAGAAAGGTCACTGCATTTGAAACATTAACTTCGCTTTCTCACCACAGATGCTTCCAGACCTTCTGAGTTTTCCCAGTAATTTCTGTTTTCGTTTATTTAAGTTTGTGCCTTCTAAAAGATACCCTGATCTATCCTTTTGCAGTCTGAAATGAATAGTTGCACACTTGCTTATATCAAAATCCATCTGCTACAGCTTTGCCCATTCACCTAATCTGTCACTATCCTATTGTAATTTTTAAGTCGTCAATACTGTCTACAATGCTGCCCAAATTTGTCATCAGCAAATCTGGATATCTGACTTTTTATGGAATTATCCAAGTCATTAATGAATATTGTGAAGAATTGAGGCCCCAACCCTCATCCCTACAGGACACCACTGGTCATGTCTTTCCAATTTGAGTACTTACCCATTATTACATCTCTCTGTTTCTGGCTACTCAACTAATTTTCTATTTATGTCGGTAGTTTGGGTGGAAACATTTTGGAATCTGTTTCAGACATTGAGAATAGGGAAAACCTAAAGTGAACTTGGGTTGAATTGCAAAATGCTTGCATCCATATTCAATGGTTAATTTGAAAGTCAAATAGGATGTTGGCCTTTATTCAAAGGGACAAGAATATAAAAATAGGGAGGTCTTGCTAAAACTATACAAGGCACTAGTCAGACCACAGCTAGAATACAGTGAACAATTTTGAGCCCCTTATCTAAGGAAAGATATACTGGCATTAGCGATACTGCAGAAGAGGTTCACTAGGCTGATCTTTGGTATGGAATCTGCCCTATGAGGAGAGATTGAGCATATTGGGCCTGTACATGTTGGAATATAAAAAATGAGGCAACCTTATTGAAACATACAGGATTTTCAGAAGACTCAGCAGGGTAGATGTGGAGAGGTTGTTTCCCCTTGTGGATGTGTCTCGGACCAGAGGGCATAACCTCAGAGAAAGGCGTTCCTCATTTAAAACAGATATGAGGGGGAATTTATTTTCTCAGAGGGTTCTGGATCTGTGGATTTCTTTATTGCCGAGGGCAGTAGAGACTGTGTGGCTAACTATATTGAAAGCTGAGATACACAGATTGTCAATCAGTAAGGGAACGAATGGTTCCAGGAAAAAGGCAGTATGAGTGTTATCAGATCAGCCATGATCTCACGGAATTGTGGAGCAGACTCAATGGACGAATAGCCTATTTCTGCTCTGATATCTTATGGTATTTTAGTATTATAGTGTCTGAGCTGGTGATTGAAAATGTTAGATTAATTGACGAGTCCTCTTTATTCATAGTGTGCTGTTAATCTCTCACTTTCGCCCTAGGTTGTTGTGGTTGGGCAGGTATCAGTTCTCTGGGGTCTGAAAGTAGGAAATTAGAATGGAAAGATTGATTTGTTGGAAGTGGGAAGTAAGAGCATTATCACATGATCAGTAGCTTGCTCACTCACCATGCCAGAAAGCAAAGAATTCAGAAGGGCTACAATGCAGGAGCATACCATTGTCATCAATATTCTCAGTGATGCCAAATATCATGGCTCTGTTGCAATTGACTTTGTTATGCAGAGAGTAATATTTTCCACAGGGCTTAGAGGTTGCCGACACTCTTTGTTCCCTTCCAGTTCTTACAGCTTTGTGGGCAATTTTTGTAGACTGTTAATGATTGTGTATGGATGATGTTCCAGATTTAATTCCAGAAAGGACGTAGTTGTTGTAGAGAGGTTACAAAAGAGACTTGCAAAATGTTGCAAGGTATCGCAGGTATGAGGAGTGATTGGATAGGTTAGGTTGTTTGCCCTTGGACAGAGGAGACTGAGGGTTGACTTAATTGAAGTTTACAAAATAATGAAGGGTTCAGAAAGAGTGGACAGGGAGGACCTGTTTCCCCCAGCGTAGAGGCCAATAACCAAGGGGTCACAGATTCAACATTGTTGGTAGAAGGATTAGAGGGCACTAGCGAAGATTTTTCAATTCATGGAAAAGCATGTGATTTAACTGACAAGGACTGGGTTTGGACAGTGGATTTTGAATAAGTGGCTAGTTTATACAGCAGCACAGACACACAGGCTGAATGCCCTGTTCTATGCTGTAATTTTTCTTGGTTCTGTGTGCTGAACATCTGGTGGTAAATGGTGTAGTAGAATTGATGGGTGTTCAAGGTTAAATGCAGCAATTGGATGTTTGGGACTTGAGTCTTTAGTGATTGGGGATATTGTTAGGTAAGTGAAGCAGAGGTGATGGCCTAGTGATATTATCGCTGGATTGTTAATCCAGAGACTCAGATAATGTTCTGGGGACCCAGGTTTGAACCCTGCCATGGCAGATAGTGGAATTTGAATTCAACAAAATATGTGGGATTAAGAATCTAATGATGACTGTGAATCCATTGTTGATTGTCGGGAAAAACCCATCTGGTTCAATAATGCCCTTTGGGGAAAGAAACTGCCATCCTTACCTGGTCTGGACTACATGTGACTCCAGACCCACAGCAATGTGGTTGACTCTTAGCTGCCCTCTGGGCAATTAGGGAGGGCAATAAATGCTGCCTAGCCAGTGATGCCCTCATGCCCTGAATGAATAAAGGATGTGGATTGAAAATATCTTATGAAAACACCTTCATTTACTTCGACCACTCAGGTATAATCAATAGACTTTTTGTAATATAGCTGCTAGGCCCTTTAAACAATGGAAATGAGATGGGAGTATTAAATTTATGTGCTGTCTATCTCCAAGAGAAGCCACATTCATAGGTCATGAATCAGGACTGCTGTGCTCAGAATTGGGGCAGATGAAATCTTAGCGTAGGAGATTGGAAAAGAAAAGAAACATATCTACTAAAAAGAAACATCTCTACTAAGAAGAG